GGACGTGCCGTTGTATGTCGTTGTGCGTCGGGATGTGGTGGGCACAGATGGGCCTGGTGCCGTCGCTTTGCGTCGTCGTCGTTGTCGGTAGCTGGGGTCTCGGCTCGGTGTCGGCAAGTACCCATCGATCTGGTCCTTGTACGGCATTGCAATCACGATGGCGTACGTGGCCACAAAGAGGCAGATGAGGCAGCCACAATGTCGTGATGCCGCTGCGCTGTGCTGGGGCTCGTGGGACCCGCTGGCATCTGGGTACTCATCATCGATGGGGTCGTTGTCGATGTCGGCCTGCCAGTGGCCAATGACACTGGGGTTGGAGTCAGTCACGTTGACACGGTGTACAGAGGTGTAGGGCGTGGTGCTGCCACCTGCGGTCTGGGGATGTCCAGGTCCAGCCAGTGCTGCAGCGGGGCTGAAGCCGCCACTGCACGGACTGGCATGAGCTGGCGATGCAGTGGTATGGCTTGTCGCGTCGGCGGCAGTGACGCCTTCAGCGTCGTTGAGCTGTGCGCAGGGGTCGGCCTGAGCCGAGTTGTTGGGCGGACTGCTGTGCGACGAGGTGTGCCCTAAGTGGGGTTCACTGTCGCGGTCACGCTGGGCCGTGTCGCCTGGTGGTGTTGTGCCGTCGCGATCCTGGGTTTCCATGTCGTCCTGGCTATCGTCCACGTGGACCGAGCCCAGGGATATGTTGCTGATATCGTCCGACGCGTGGAATGAGTCCAGGGGTGTGTCGCTGATGTCGCTGGCCGCGATGTGCTGAGGCAGCCATGGTACGGGGTCGTCTGCGGCCTGATCACCCGTGGCGTGCTGGGCGAGGCCAGCTGGCGGTGGTGGGTTAAGCGGTTCCATCGGTGCCGCGGCGAGCTCTGCCTCCACAAGCGGCTGCATGTCTGTCGGGTGGTGCAGGATCGCATCGGCGAGGTACGCCAGGGCGTCTTGGTCGGGTGGGGGAAGGCCTCTTGGTAGTAAGGCGTGGGCCCGTGAGAGGTATGGCGGCAAAGGTGCCGTGAAAGCTTCTGGGCCGACAAGCTGGGCACGAGCACCCTGGTATTCCAGAAGGAGGCCAAAGTAACGGGTGGAATACTCGCGGCTGCCTTGGATAAGAGTGAGGTTGCGGTTTGTGCGCTGTCTGTCGAGGCCCGCTCTATACCAGATGTCCTCGCACATGTCGAGCGCGGTGAGCTGGCGCAGGGCGTCGGTTGTGTCCTCAGAATCCTCCTGGAAGAGGTGATCGTACTGTGGCAGATGAAGCGTCGCCAGGATGTACGGGACGCAGTCCTCGAGCCATGCCCAGAACACGTCCTGGTGGTCCTCACCTGGTGCCCACGCCGCAGCACACGGTATGAGCCGGGCACGATCATCATCAGGTGCCAGAAAGCAGGGTCCTCCTCGGGTTCGCCCCTAGCGCACAGGGGGGTGTGAGACCCGTGGGGCAATAGCGGGGCACGACAGCGGGGCTGAAGCCGCCACTGCGTGCCTGGCCTATATCAACGTCCCCGTCAAGGATCTGCTGCACCGCAGTCGAGGCCACGCTGGGGGTGGATTTCGATGCATGTGTCGTAGTTGACAAGGGCGTGCATGCGCTCACGATGGCGCCCAGCGGTCCGTTGCCGCACGGACCCGCTGCTACGGTGCTGTTCACGATCGGGTCCAAAATGGTGCAGTGATCGTACTTGTAGATGCTGTCATCGTAAAGGTAGAAAAGAGTCCCACGTTCAGCGTGTCGCAGGATAACCTCACCTCCATGCTGGGGCGCACCGCCTGAAGACGGGCGTGCTCCAGCGAGCGAGGGGAGGGCCAGGCTGCAGGCAAGGCGCCACATGATGGCGAGGCCTGGCGGGCGGCGCGAGCGATGAGCCAAAAGCTGCATGTCAGCACGCATCCTCAGATACCCCTGCATGCTCATGTACATTGCAACAATCACGCCCCCTGCAAGATGACGGGTGTCCCTACACCAGATAGCTTGCACGTGCTGCTGCCAAAACTGACATGATATGACAAGAAAGAGATACGACGCGAAGAGAGAAGAGATGCCTCTGAAGGCGCTTCCTCGGAGGGCTGAGGCAGGCTCTCTGAGGCACCTTCAATAGGGTTCCTGAGTGACCCGACCCTTGTCTTTGCCTTTGTCAGCCCCTGGGGGCCCCGTCCCTGGGGTGACCTGGCCTGGCTGGTCGATCCACCCGCAGACAGCCACGGGATCGGCAACTGATGCAGCTTCCTCCTTTTTTGTTTCGAGAGTGGCCACCTGTGGCAGGTGGATGGTGCCCCCCGTGAGGTGCCCGAGGAGGGCCTGGATGTCGCCACGCAGTGCAGCAGCTTCGGTAGTTGCCGTCTGTTGCTGGGTGACGACGGTGGCAAGCCCTCGTTCCAAACCTGAAACGTGCTCCGTGAGTGTGGCCTGGGATGAGAGAACGCCCGCAAGCTGAACCTGCATGTTATCCACCGTGTTGGCAAGCAGCTCGTGCTGTTGTTCCATGTGTTGGATGCGGGTCGTGGCGGCATCTGGCAGTTTAGGGGCCGTTGCGAAGCGTTCGCCGAAGGTGTTGAGTTCGTGAGATGCCACGCTGTATTCATCACCTGATGAGAGGATCTCGACGTCGTCAGCGTCGCCTGGTACCTCGGCGGCTGTGGCAGCGTCCCCTTCCGTGTGGCCCCCACCTTCAGCCGCCACCGTGCCAAGCTGCGGGTCATGACCACCTGATCCTTGGACGGCCGTCTGCTCGGCAGCTCCATCCGTGCCGTGCGGGGGTGCAGAGGAGCTGCGGCCTGGGGCGCCGTGTGATCTTGCGTGCGGCGTGGCGTCGCGTTTCCCACTGGAGGATCGGTGGCGCTTGGCTAAAGGCTCCTCCTTGGGTATCAGGAGCGGTGCGACGCCCTTGCCTTTGGGCGTGGCAGTCATGAGGTCGTGGAGGTAAGGGCTCTGGGCCGCTTTGGTGAGGAGTGTGCCAGTGGCGGGGCTGAAGCCGCCACCACGGGCTGGCGGCGTCACAGGCTCTGTGATAGTGGTAGGGGTGACAATGGTAACGTTGTCCCTCTTCGGCACCACCTCAGCCACGGGGCCTCGGTGATGCTCCACGGGATGGGGCACCCTGCGACCTGTACCGTATATGTGGGTGGGGGACGATGGGCGCGCACTAAGGCAAACTGAGCCGAAGTGGCTGGGTCCCAGGCGGTGTGGTAGACCTCACAGTCCCATTTGACGGACGGGCCCGTGAGAGTCTTAGCGAGCTGGGTCAGCGTGGCGTGGCGTGCCGCAATGCCAGTGATGCGGTAGCGCGTCTTGGCGAGGGTGGCTTCGCAGCCGCGGATGCTGACGGCAGCAGCCTTGGCGGCGTCTGACCCTCGTGAAACACGGATCCCCAATAAGCCTGACTTGCCGTGCCTGACGACTCCTAGGGCCTTGAAATCCACCGACTTCTGGAACGCATCTGCCATCGTGATGGGCTGGTCCTCAGGGAACCACACGGTCTGGTACTTGTCTGCAGTGGGCTCGTCTGCACCTACGTTGCTGAGGTCGTAGGTGGCGCCGAGTTGCCCTGAACCCGCCAAGACCTTGTCAACCGCTTGAAGACTGACGCCGAAGGTGGCAGCCAGGGACCTCTTTCCGACGCCCGATCCATACCTGCCTAGGCTTTTGCAGGGTTCGAGGATGGTGACGGCTTTAAAGTTGCCGTGGAAGAGGGCCTTGAAGGTGTCCTGGAGCTGACTATCGAGCTCCTGGCGGCGAGCGTCTTTCTTGGACTCCCTGTGCTTTTGGTTTTGGCGCGCCTTGTCCTGTGGAGCGGAGTCCCTTCGGAAAGGACCCTTGGCGCGTGGACCACCGTTCACGGGGGCACCTCCCGAGAACTGGTCCTCGAAGGCCTGATGCATGGAGGGGACTGCGGCGATGGCCTCGGTTTCATGTATGGTCACCCGAATCCAGCATACGTGGTCGGCAGGATCGATGGTGGCGACGGCTACTTTTTCCGTGCAGGCGACTTCCTTGGTGCCCAGCTGGTACACGGTCACGGGGACGTGCGTGTGGACCACTTTGGGCGCCTTGGGGTGACGCTTCAGCACGGGGACGGCGAGCTCGGTACCGACGTAGTTATCGTTTTTTGGGCCCATGACAGCAATCGCAAGCTGACCCGTGGTACGCTTACCCTGCTCGAGGTGGTGTTGCAGCAGCCGTTCACCGCTCTCGTAGTCGTGGAGGCTGATACTGGGCTTGTACGTCTTGCCGTCGTCAAGTGATGTGGGTTCGGCGAGGACTGGGACCTTCCAGAAGGCCGGGTCCAAGGCAATGAATTGGGTGTCCGCAGCCTGAAGACGTGCGGACGCAGCTGGTGGGTGTGATGTGTCACCACCAATGCGCTTAGGCTTGCTGCGCTGGTGGTGATCCAGCGTGTAGCTGATCTGGTTGGCGGCACACATGCGGATCAAGGCACTGCCGAGCTTCTTTGTGTTGGTCTTGTGCATGTCGTACGTGGCCTGCAGCTCGTCCGCGTTCAGCTCGGCGAGCCCGTTGTATGCGGCCGTGGGGCGGTCAGACCCCGCTTGCTTGAAAGCTGCGATGCAGTCCTGCTTGCGTTGGAGGAGAGACCCTTCAGCAGCAGGACGTGAGCTCGGAGGCTGCTTGGAAGAGCGACGGCGCTCCGGCTTACTGGGGGCCATTGCTGCGGGCGCTCTGGTGGGAGAGAGGTGACGCGAATCAGTAGGGTCCTGCTGGGCTCCGGTCTCGCGAGGCCTGGGAGTCTGACTCCGAGGCGGGGCGCTTCGCGTCGCGGCTGCGGTCTGAGTGCTGGGCACTCTCGAGCCGAGACTAGAGAGAGAGAGAGAGAGAGAGAGAGAGAGAGAGAGGGAGAGAGAGAGAGAGAGAGAGAGAGAGAGAGAGAGAGAAAGAGAGAGAGAGAGAGACAGTTAGTCCTCCCATGCGAAGGGGGGCGAAGGGGGGTAGATTGACAGCTGGTTGACGCCCGAAGATGATCCGCCACGAAGACACCTCCGAGACGCTCGCCCTCATGACCTCCTACGACATGGTCGTGGTCGACGAGATCTCCCTCCTGGACCTGCCCCACTTCCAGTCGCTGATGAAGATGTGGCACTTGGGCGCCAAGAGAATTCCGGCGCTCATCATCCTCGGAAACAAGCAGCAGCTGCCGGCCATCGACGCTGTGAAGAACGGGCGCCCATGGGAGAGCACCGCCTGGGCGAGCTGCACGATTGTGACGCTCCACCAGGCCTGGCGCTGCAAAGACCCCGCCTTCCTCAAGATCCTCGACACGCTCCGCGTGGACAAGCCCAGCGCCAAGATGCTCCGGAGCATGTGCCGCGGCCACAAGGCCTGGTCCTCCGACGACCCCGACAAGGACGACGTCGTCCGGCACCTGAACGAGCACGAGAAGACCGTGATCGTCACCTGCACACGCCACAAGGCGGAGGCCATCAACAAGCTCGCGGTGGAGGGCCTCTTCGCTGGCCGCAGACCGATCGCCACGCTCGAAGGCGAAATCGACATCAACCCGGCGAACTACGACGAGGGGGGCTTCCGAGAGGACCGCAAGCCCGTCCCCGCGCAGGTGCCGATCTACATCGGGGCGCGGCTCTACCTCACGCAGAACGTCAAGAAAGACGACGACTACGTGAACGGAATGGCGTGCACCGTCTTGGGCTACACGCCGAACGGCCACGGCGGCGTGCTCAAGGTGCGCACCAAGACGGGCCACCTCCTGCCGATCACGATGTGGACCAACACCAAGGTCAAGGGCCACAGCGTGCGCCACTTCCCGATTCGCCTCGGCTACGCCAGCACAATCCACAAGGTGGGGCGGACGAGGAAGAGGCCTCGCTCCTGGCGAGCCGTGGCTACTTTCTGCATCCCGAACACAGCAGCGCAACACGCGCGTTGTGCTCGAGGTGCCTGGCGGCTGCGTGCTCGGCCAGGGAGCGAGAGTCCACTTCCTCCTTGGCCCGATAAGGTTCAGGGCGACGAGTTCGCGCACATCACCGTCGTGCTCGACAAGAAGTTCTGCCCTGCGGCGGGCTACACGGCACTCTCGCGCGTGCAGCGGGGCTCCGACTACTCGCTCGCTGGCAAGCTCACGCCCGAGCACTTCATCCCTGCCACGTGGTTGGACCCCGCGTGAGCGGCCGTGGCCGATGGAGCGCCGCGTAGCTCACTCACATGGCGCCGCCGACGGTACAGGTCGGTAGCGCGCTGCCTTGCGTGCCGCTTGAACGTTGGGGGGCCCGCGGAGCGCTCGATCGTCAAGGGATCTGCAGTGCGGCTGCTGCGTCGGGTATTCCCTCTCGCCGATGTTCCCAGCCCCTTCCTCGGAAATTCAATATGACAACCAAGAGATCACCCTGCGAGCAAGATGCGGCCCCGAAAAAGAGAAAGTAACTCCCCCCATGCGAAGGGGGGGCGAAGGGGGGTAGAGTGACAGATGCGAGACGCCCGAAGATGATCGCCGCAAGAAAAGACCTTCCCCCCATGAGAAGGGGGGGGCGAGGGGGGTAGAAGAACCCTAAACCCTAAAGGGGTACTTTTGGGTGGGGGGTGGGAACGGGAACGAATAGCAGCCGACCCCCCCAACCTCTTGAAGGAGGGGGGGTCGAGCTGCTTCCGCCCAGCGAGGCCCTAAACCCTAAACCCTAAACCCTCAAGACGAAAAACACCACGTATTGAGCAAGCTCGAGTGGTGCCATGGCGAAAGACAGTAAAACGATTCCATGCCGAACGATGTAAGCGAGCCCGGCGCAAGCTTGCGCGAGCGCCTGATGGGCGCGCCAACCATACCCGACGCTCCGAGCGAGCCGGCGCGAGCGGAAGCGGCTCCGGAACAGCGGCCCCCAGGCGGTCTCGAAGCTCCCAGGCGCCCCGAAGCGCTCCCAGGCAGGGGCTCCCAGGCGCTCCTAAACGCTTCCGGCACGCTCCCAAGCGTTCCCAAGCGCCCCAGGCGCTCCCGAGCGCTCCCAGCATGCTCCCGGGCGCTCCCAGGCGCTCCCGGCACGCTCCCGGCACGCTCCCGGCACGCTCCCCGGCGCTTCCAGGCGCTCCCGCGCGCTCCCGGCACGCTCCCGGGCGCTCCCAGGCGCTCCCGGCACGCTCCCGGCACGCTCCCAAGCGCTCCCAGGCGCGCCCAAGCGCTCCCAGTGCTCCCAGGGGCTCCCCGGCCGGACCAGGCGCTCCCAGCACGCTCCCGGCACGATCCCGGCACGCTCCCAAGCGCTGCCAGGCGTTCCCGGGCGCTCCCGGCACGCTCCCGGGAATCCCATGCGCTCCCGGCACGCTGCCAAGCGCTCCCAGGCGCTCCCAGGCGCTCCCAAGTGCTCGCAGGCGCTCCCAGGCGGTCCCAGTGCTCCCAAGGGCTCACCAGGCGCTCCCAGCACGCTCCCGGCACGCTCCCGGCCACTCCCAGGCGCTCCCAGGCGCTCCAAGGCGCTCCCGGCACGCTCCTGGGCGCTCCCAGGCGCTCCCGGCACGCTCCCGGCACGCTCCCGGCACGCTCCCAAGCGATCCCAGGCGATCCCAAGCGCTCCCAGCACGCTCCCGGGCGCTCCCAAGCGCTCCCGGCGCGTTCCCGGCACGCTCCCAAGCGCAAGCGCTCCCTAGCGCTCCCGGCACGCTCCTGCGCGCTCGCGGCACGCTCCCGGGCGCTCCCAGGCGCTCCCGGCACGCTCCCGGCACGCTCCCGCCACGCTCCCGGCACGCTCCCAAGCGCTCCCAGGCGATCCCACGCGCTCCCAAGTGCTCCTAGGCGCTCCCAGGAGCGCGCGCAGCGCGCTGGGACGCTTCTGGGACGTCTGGGAGACAGCCGCCGCGCGGGAGGAGCGCGATCTTCGAGCGGGCACGCGAGGAAGCACTCTCGGAACAGCGCAGTCAGACAGACGCCGCGCGGGAGGGAGCGCGATCTTCGAGCGGGCACGCACGGAAGCGCTCTCGGCGATAGCGCAGAGCAATTGAAACCGCTACGAGGTCCGCAGACGCTAATACGTTGTGTAAACCCTAAACCCTAAACCCTAAACCCTAAACCCTAAACCCTAAACCCTCAAGACGAAAAACACCACGTATTGAGGAAGCTCGAAGGGTGCCATTGCGAAAGACAGTGAAACGATACCATGCCGAACGATGTAAGCGAGCCCGGCGCAAGCTTGCGCGAGCGCCCGATGAGCGCGCCAACCATATCCGACGCTCCGAGCGAGCCGGCGCGAGCGGAAGCGGCTCCAGAACAGCGCGCCGGCACGCTCCCAGGCGCTCGCAGGCGCTCCCGTTACGCTCCCAGGCGCTCGCAGGCGCTCCCGGCACGCTCCCGGGCGCTCCCGGCACGCTCCCGGCACGCTCCCGGCACGCTCCCAGGCGCTCCCAGGCGCTCCCAGGTGCTCCCAGGCGCTCCCAGGAGCGCGCGCAGCGCGCGACGCGAATCCGTTGTGTTTTACGAGAGATCACGGCGTCGGCAGGCCCGAAATCTTGCCGTCGCGATGCGAATCCCACGTGTTTTACGAAGGATCGTAGCCAAGCCGACTGGCGGGAACCAATTGGTACCGCTACGAGGTCCGCAGACGCTAATACGTTGTGTAAACCCTAAACCCTAAACCCTAAACCCTAAACCCTAAACCCTAAACTGCAAGCCACGGGCGGTGCATCGTCAGAAGCCCGTGGCGCCTGGCCGAGCGATCAGCGAGTCCGCCCATGCGCGCACGCCGCACCGACGAAGCGCGTAGCGCTGAGGAGGATGCGCTCCCCCGCGGGGATGCCTCGTGAGTGCTCCGACAGAGGAATAGAACCCTTAACCCCAGGCGTAGCCAAAGGGTCCCCTGCGATTGGTCCCATCCCCTGGGGCTCGAAACCTATGAAAATACAGCATGCGGCGCCCGGCCGTCCGTGGGGCCGCAAACCATATGAAAATACAGCATGCGGCGTCCTTTCGGCTGGCGCACGTCCCAGGCGCTCCCAAGCGCTCCCAGGCGCTCTCAGGCGTTCCCAGGCGCTCTCAAGCGCTCCCAGGCGCCCCCAAGCGATCCCAAGCGCTCCCGGGCGCCCCCAAGCGCTCCCCAGCGTTCCCAGGCGCTCCCCAGCGCTCCCAAACGTTCCCAGGCCTTCCCAAGCGCTCCCCGGCGCTTTCGGCACGCTCCCAAGCGCTGTCAAGCGCTCCCAGGCGCATGGCGCTCCCAGGCGCTCTCAGGCGCTCCCGGCACGCTCCCAGGCGCTCCCAGGTGCTCCCTGGCGCTCCCAAGCGCTCCCAGGTACTCCCAAGCTCTCCCTGCACGCTCCCAGGCGCTCCCAGCCTGCTCAGGCGCTCCCTGCGCGCTCCCAAGCGCTCCCTGGCGCCTCCGAGCGCTCCGGGGCGCTCCGAAGCACTCCCGGGCGCTCCGGCGCGCTCCCAGGCGCTCCCGGCACGCTCCCAGCACGCTCCCACGCGCGCCCAGGCGTTCCCATGCGCTCCCAAGCGCTCCGAAGCTCCCACAGGTGGTCCCAAGCGCCCAAGCGCTCCCCGGCGCTCCCAAGCGAGTTTCAGCAGTCCAAGCGGTCCCATGGCGCTCCCACGCGTTTTCATGCATTCGCAAGCGCTCGGCAGCGATCCCTGGCGGCGCTCCCCGGCGCTCCCCCGCAATGCAGGTGCTGCCGCGGCCATGCGCGCGCATCGTAGCGAGGGGGTGCCAGACCCACCCCCTCGCGCTCCCTCTCCAGCCATGCGACATTCGCGCCGAAGGCGGCTGCGTCGACAATGCAATCGCTTCAGCGGGGGCGACGCCAACGGTCCTGCCCCATGGACAACCCACGGCCCGCACTGGCGGTGCACTCTGCGTGTCCTGTCACGCTCCCAGACGCTCCCACGTGCTTCCATCCTGGGGAAACCTCGAGGCGCTCCCCCAGCGCTCCCAGAGAGCTCTCCCAAGGCATTCCAAGAGGTCTGCCATGGAGGTGCTGCAGCAGCCATGCACGCGCATCGTAGCGAGGGGGTGCCAGACCCACCCCCTCGCGCTCCCCCTTCCAGCCATGCGAAATTCGCGCCGAAGGCGGCTGCGTCGACAATGCAATCGCTTCAGCGGGGGCGACGCCAACGGTCAAGCCCAACGGGCAATTCACGGCTCGCGCTCGCGGTGCACTCTGCGTGTCCTGTCGCGCTCCCAGACGCTCCCACGTGCTTCCATCCTGGGGAAAGGTCGAGGCGCTCCCCCAGCGCTCCCGCTCCCCCAAGGCATTCCAGGGGGTCTGCCATGGACGTGCTGCCGCAGCCATGCGCGCGCATCGTAGCGAGGGGGTGCCAGACCCACCCCCTCGCGCTCCTCCTCCCGCCTTCCGAAGCTCGCGTCGACAGCGTCTGCGTCGATGATTGCAATCGCTTCAGCGGGGGCGACCTCAAAGCAAAACCCAAAGCCGCGGGCGAATACAACTGCCGTGCGCGTCGCCGTCAGCGAGGAGCCCGACGGCGCGGCTACTCGCTCGAGGCCCACGGGGGCCCATGGGATTGCCGCGCCAGCGCCATCGCAGTGCTGCTTTCCAACGCCGAAGGCACATGCGGACCCCTGTGGATGTGCTGCGCCAGCGGCAGCCGTCTACGACGGCGGCTGCAAGGGCAGCCAGGCCAACGGCAAAAGCCAATGCAGGAGGCCTACTGGAACCAGGGGCAGTGCTGCGTCTGCGACAGGCCAACGCCGTAACTCAAAACCTCATGCGGCGACGCCTGGCCTTGAGGCCTCTCCTGTGCCTTTTGATGCAATGAACGCCCGCAGGAGAAGAATCCGTCCTTCGGCAAAGCCATGCGCCAACTGGGAGCCAGCCGAATGCAGCTAAACCCACGGCAAAGATTGTTGGCCATGCGACGACGCTGGCTCTTGCGCCTGCGCAAAGCGCTTTGCGCGCGTACCAAGAACGCAATGCCAAAACCGCGTCGTCGCGCTCCCCGCGGAATATTCGCATTCGCACACAACACGAAAGCCCCCCTTGATAGGGGGGGTGGGGGGAGAAACCCTGAACCCTAAAGGGCTTTACTGTGGGTGGTCTGGGGCGGGAGTGCAAGTTCATAGCGCGCGCGGCTTGGGCAGCGATCCCCCCCAACAACCTTGATGCGGGGGGGGTCGCAGCCAGCGCGCGCATGCGCCCATGCAGGCCCTAAGCCCTAAACCCTAAACCCTAAACCCT